TGCAAAAGAGGGAGAAAAAGGCAGGGGATGAAGTAGAGTAAAACATGTGATTTGTGCGGCAGGTGGTTCGTGCGAATGTATGAGGAGAGTGGAGAGCGGTGCGTGGGGCCAGGCCAACACATGTCGAGCAGAGGGAGCGGTTTACGGGAGGAAGAAACCAACCGGATGAAAGCAAATGTTTTTCCTAATCAAAAGCAGCCCCCACGTACCACTTTGCTCTACCTCGTGCCAACTCTCATCTAGGGTTTCCCTGCCTCTCACCGGTGCCGCCACCAGTCCGCCTCATCTTCTATGGTCCTTGGACCATGGAGGCATGGTGGATCTTGATCCTTGTCGGCGGGAGGGCTCCATTTTTAGTTTGTTTTTTGAAATTTTGTTAGGTTGTGTGTCATGCTCAAGAAGACGAGACAGTGACGGCTTCTTGAAGATGGAATAAGGTTCTCCCCTCCAAGCCGGCATCCTGGCGGTGCTTCTAACATTGTCGGAGGGCATGTGGAGATGTACCTCTGGCGGATCTCGTGTGATCCGGTTGGAGTTTGTCTTCGCTGGACCCGCTTGAATCCGGCCTTTATACGTCTACTTCTATGTTTCTACGCTTCTTTTTATCGACGACGGTTGTTGTTTTGGTATGCTGGTTCTACAGGCCTTAACACGACGACTTCCCGATTGTCTATCACAACAATGTTTGTGCGGCTCCGATGGCAGAGGTGACGACGGCGGCGCACGTTCGGCTTGATCCAGTGCTTGTAGCCGTCGCTAAGTGGTCTACAGATCTAGATGTAGTTTTTACTTCTAGTGTTCTTTGTACTCCCTTGACAGTTGATGAATAGATCAAAAGTTTTTTTGCAAAAAGAAAATTTTACTATGTATTTACCACCATGCTATGAATATTAATGTGCTAGATTAAACTCGTAGATAAAACCATCCATCCCATATTCATTATCGTAAGAGAAATCGGTAGATGCACATCTTTCCCCTTTGTATCTATTCCAGCCAAATGCCAAAGCACTAGTATGGAACTTCGCATCACTGTCGGCCAAGGATTTAAATCACTAGCTATAGCTGCGTTTTAGCTTTTTGATAGACTAAAAGTAAAGCCATAGCACTTTCTACCGCTATGTTAGATAAAGAGGCTATGACACTATGGCTAAAACTATTACTTTAGTGTGCATGGATAAAAAATAACAAGTAACCATATGTACACGTAAATTTAATACAAAACAATCATGTATATAACTAAAAGTCACTACAGAAAATAACTCATATGCCAAGTACCCAAAATACTCGGCAAAGCCTATTTGGTATACACCCTGTGAAAAGTAGTCGATTGCAAACTAAGACATTTCCTAGTGGTGGAAAGGGGCAAATATCTTCCCACCCACCCAGGTCCAAGGCATGATACTCGTAATTTGCGTTTGTTACACTAATGACTGCAGGGGGCCTCCCTTGCAGTCTTTCTGTCAGAAAAAAGCAACTGGTTTGCCAAATGGTCGACACACTAGCCTACATCCTTGACAAGGCGAAGGCAGCTGGTCATATTCGAGGGATCGCTCCCCACCTGGTCAGTGATTGTGGGATTTCCCTCCTGCAGTATGCCAAAGACACCATTATTGTGGTGGAAGTCTCGGACGTGGATATCTCCAACCTGAAATTCCCGCTCCTCTGTTTCCAACAAATGTCCGGCCTCAGGATCAACTTCGACAAGAGTGATGTGATGGTGATGGGTTACTCCCCTGCCGAGTGCTAGAGCATCGCCAATTGCCTTAACTGTCGTCTCGGCTCCTTCCCCATGACCTACCTAGGGATTACATTTAGTGACTCCCGGCTTTCTGCCGCCGATTTGCGGCTGATAGTGGCCAAACTGCAGCTCTGTATTGAGCCTTGGCAGGATAGGTGGCTATCTAAGGCTGCCCGGATGATTCTCATCAACTCCTCTCTGTCGAGCTTACTCCTATTCCTTGTGAGTTTCTACAGACTTCATGAGACTTTGCATCACAAGATTGCCAGAGTCCAGGCGAGATTCTTCTAGGCAGGCGACAATAATAAGCAGAAGTACTACATGATCAGCGTATGAATATCGCCCTTCTGTTCCCATGGCTCTGGTGCATTGCCCAGGGGCACGGTGGTCTCTGGCTCGACATCATCCGAAACAAATGCTTGTGTGGAGAACCGATAGCCTTCTGGCAGCGATCCGGTGGCTCCCAATTTTGGCAGTCCGTCATCCAGCTTCTCCCGGTCCTTCGCATCGGGACCTTCATCTTGGTGGGCTCAGGTGCCGCCACTCTGTTCTGGTTTGATCGGTGGGCTGGGGACATCCCCTTCGCCGCCCGCTTCCCTGGCTTGTTCGCTGTCGTAGTTGACCCTAGGATTTCCGTCGCGAGCGCCCTTATTGACTTAGGGCGCCTAGCTTTCCGAAGGCCGTTTGGGCCTCCGGGTCTTGCGGCTTGGCATGAGCTCCTCGATTGCATTGCTCTCCACGAGACTGACGTGGATGTCACTTTCGACCTCATATGTTGGCGTCTGGAACCAGGCTATTGCCCCCTGCACTTCTCCTTTGCCTCTTACTGCGATGCGGTCCATTCGTCTACCTCTGAAGATTAGGATCTTCATGTGGCAATGGATCCGTGGTCGGACCCCGTCTGGCATGGAGGTCCGTAAGCGTAATGGCCCGGGTTCCAGGCTTTGCCCCCTTTGTGGCACTCACGAAGACTCGAATCACATTTTCTTTTCTTGCGTGTCCGCCCAATTCCTTTGGAGCTGCTTTCGGGAAGCGGTTGGCAGTCATTGGTGCCACTCCAATTTTCCCGGCATATTCTCCGAACTGCAAGCCTCCCCCCAATGATCTCGCCACATTAGGTGGACGGAGATTGGGGTCCTCGCCTGGACTTTATGGATGGTCCACAATAGACTTGTGATCTAGCGCACGCCGCTCCGACATGCTACTGACGCTCTATTCAAATTGTGTGGTTACTTGCAGCTCTGGCGGCCGCTTAGCTGCCCCCAGGATCGAGACGCCATCACCGCCTTCATCGCTACCTTTGCTCGATGGCGCTCCGCTTGTCACCGCCGCTCCCTCCGCCACCCCCCGAGCCAGATTAGTCGTCTAGTTGTCTTCACCACCTTGTTTTTTTTTCTTTTTTGGGCTTGTTGAGTTGTGCCCTTAGCAGAACCCTCGTACTTGCTTTTGTACTTGTGAGTGTGCGGTGTGAACCTTTGTTTCCGTTGTGGCTCTGGTTGTTTGCTCTATTTATAAAGCGGGGCAAAAGCCTTTTTCGTTATTTGCCAAATGCAAGCTTGGTAAATGCCAAAACTTCGCGGAGTGTAACCACTAGGAAAATTGGTTGAAAAGAAAGAGAAAAAGGACACTGCTCGACGGCTTTCTCACGCAGTCGAGGAACACTCGAACAGTACGATACCCTACTCATCATGGATCACATGCCGGAGGAAGGAGCCCTGAAGCGGGGGAGAAACACGGTTTGGATCTGAAGCGGGGGAGGCCGGAGTGGCAGGCGAGCGCGGGTTAGCCCGCCATCACTGCGTACACGCCACGAATCTCTCGGTGTGCATATCTCCCTAGATCCCATGGATAGTGACCTCTTTCCTGTGTGGCCGGAGATGTAGGAAGAAAGGGAGAGAGGCGCCTCCACCGCGGCTCAGCGGATGGTGCGCCCTCCGAGTGCCATGACATCCACATGAATCGGGGAAGGAGTTGTTGGCTTGGGCGTTGAAGGTGTTGTTGAACCGGGGACGAGTTGAAACGTATGAAAAAATAGTGTGCTACAAGACTTAGAGCTTCCTTGCTCCAAATGCCATACAAGTTATAGCGTGCTATATTTAAAAATAGCGTTTTGCATAAAAATGTCAAATATATCATAAAATTTAAGGCTTCCATAATTTGGAAGCAGAGGGAACACTCCTAACAGACAAAGAAGCACAAGAGGGCTAGGCTCATGGCATATACACTCCTAATTTGTGAGGAAAGAAAATACTCGTATTTAAACAAAGAAACATCAGTGCCTCACTTGCCAGAACCGGAGGCGTGGCCCACACCGCTTGTTGGAGAGGGGATAAAGAGAAGCTGCTGCCAGTAATGAACCATTGCCTCCGCCTTCGCTCACGAGGCACGAACGTCACCACCGCCCTCTGTACGAGCTGGTGGGAAATTGGTGACGAGTTGTCTAGGCCGGGTTGTATGTGGTGCGTTGGGACTTATACCTCGCCAGGGGAAACCTGGCCTGGCTGGCGTGGCCCGACCAAATCTTGCCCCACGGATCAGGCATGGGCCTAGATTTTGACCCCAATGCTAGGGAGGGCCGAGCTTGGGCCTGACATATGTGTGTTTTACGGAAGAGGCCTAACATGCTTTTCCACTAATGGGCTGGGCTTGGGCCCCTTAAATATAGGCCTGAAGGCAGGGACGAGCCATGCTTGGGCCCCTTAAAACTAGGCCCGAAGGCAGGGACGGGCTAGGCCCGGGCCTGGGATCTCTGATGTCGGTTTTTTTAGGCCTGGTCCGACCCAAGTTATGGCCAGGTACAGTCGGGAGAGAGAGAGAGAGAGGTGGATCAATGCGATGCGGCGATGCCTGATGGGCTGCTATGTGATACACACTAAAACGCTACAACCTTATCCCGTTTAGTGTCGAAAATAGGGTGTTATAGCGCGAATAGAGCCGTAACGAGCAAATTTGCTAAAACGTAATTTGGCCATTCCAGATACGCTATAACGACCCTATAACATAGCGTGCTATTTTTTTTTTTGTTTTTTTTGTTATATGAAACACAAATCGTGGATGGAAGGGATAAGGAATGGAACGTGGGGATAGTGAGCTCGTGTGTGGCTGTAAAAAAGGGGTGGACGATGGTGTAGATGTGTATGCCTCCTTGGCTGAGGACGACTTTTTTTCCTTTTTTGTTTTGTTTGTCTGTTTTCCTTATCCCGGATTCTTTTTAATGTTTGCATTTTGCATTGAATTGATTGAATAAATAAATAAATGAATAAATAAATGTGTATAACAATAATACCTTCGTCGGGCAGAGCAAGGGACGAGTTGAATGACCATGACAGTATCTGATGTAGATCCATGCTTAAGCCGGTGGCCGCAGACAGTGGCGGATCCAGGAATGGAGCAAGCCCCGGGCCCAAAAAAAAATTTCGCGAGAGAAAAACTTAACCTCCATCAAACTATAGCTACCTCAAATATGGCTCAATTGTACCAATAATTTCGAATTTAAATTCAATGCTTAAAGATACAACAAAATAGATAAAAACAAGATGACAAAAACTACGAACAGTACATGCAGTAAAAAGAGTACCAAATCAGTGGCTTGCTTCATCAGCGTCTTCCATAACTTGATCAACGGTGGAAGAAGAGCCAACACCTTGGAGAAATGAAAAGTAAAATTTCATAACAGGAGACATAAACATTAAGTGAAACCATTAACATTGTACAGAGTTGAAAACTTACTACTACGACGAGGTAAAGTTCCTTTGCGACATCTATAGGATTGAAAGCGATATATAATAGCATCATCATCAACCTTTGCAAATATTTCTCGCTCAATATTGCAGACCATGGAAAAATTCAACCAATCATCACCCATCTTATTCCTCAACTCAGTCTTGATAATACTCATAGCTGAGAAAGCTCTTTCCACTGATGCGGTTGCAACAGGCAAAATCAATGTCAACTCAATAAGATGATATACCAAAGGAAAGACCATGTGTCTATCAGTCCGAACCATCTTCACAGCAAGACTACCAAGATCATTACAACTAACAAAACTTGAATCAGCTCTCACATCAGCAATGAAGTTTTCAAGTTGGTTTCTAAGGACAAAAGAAATCTCATATATGGAGAAGTCATCAGCATACATCTCAGCAAGTTGAACAAGTTTGTCTTCATCAAAATTAGCAAATGAGTTCCTTGGATCAAGACAAGCAATGCATCTCAACAATTGAGTAAATCTTTCAGCAAAGCGGTTATTTAACTCAGTAATTATTTGATCAAGCAGAACATTGAATATTTCATATCTGAAGCGTTGATAGAAAGTTACCATTTGACCACCACGCCCCCTTGAACGACCCCGAGCGGGTATTGTATCATCCATGTTAGGCAATATAATGTTATGCTTAACACAAAAGTCAGTTGTGTCCTTCAAGAGTTGATCCCAACCATTTTCTCTTATATTTTGAAGTTGCCGCAATGTGATCCCAATCAAACTCACTGCTAGAACAATGTTTTGATCTTTCCTTTGCAAACATTGTGATAACTCATTAGTCTTTTCCAATAGTTTGATCATAATATGCAATATGAAAACAAATTCAAAAGTTTCCATCTGAGATATCAAGCCACCTGCTGTGGTTCTTTGTGTTAAATTCTCTGCATCATCATGAATGTTCTCTAAAACATGCAAAACAGATGTCCACATCTCAATAAACCGACACAAAGTTTTATGATGTGAGCCCCACCGTGTATCCCCAGGTCTTACAAGGTTGGTTGCTTGGTTTTTCCCTCTTCATGAAAATATTTCCCCGGACTCCAGTTGACTCACAATATTATCATGTTGTTCTTGGGCTAGTTCATCATGTCTCTTACAAGAAGCATTGACAGTGTTGACAATCAAAGTTATGTGGTTAAAGAAATCCAATACAGAGGAACAACACTTGGCAACAGCAACAACCACTAACTGCAACTGATGGGCAAAGCAATGAATATAAAATGCATAAGGATTTTCATCTAGTATCAACCTTTGCAACCCACGAAATTGTCCTCTCATGTTAGAAGCTCCATCGTACCCTTGCCCTCTCAATTTAGACATAGACAAGCCATGTTTAAGAAACATACCATCCAAAGCTGCTTTTAGAGAAGCCGCTCTTGTGTCACCAACATGCTTAATCCCAATGAACCTCTCAATCGCATACCCATGTTTATCAACATACCTACATAACACAAAGAAGCACGAGTAACCAACAATTAGGTACTACACTACTACTATTAGTAAAGAACAAAACAGCAACTAACATAAAAGATGCAAAGTTACAAACCTTAAAACCATAGCCATTTGCTCCTTTATTGATGCATCTCTAGACTCATCAACAAGTAAAGAAAAATTTCTATCTCCAATATCATCAATAATTGCTTTGGTGGTCTCTTCAGCACAAGCTTGACACGACTGCAATTGTATCCCATGTGAAGTCATCAAATGGTTCCCGCCCGCACTATCAAGCAAAGTCTTAGCATTCGGATCCTTCTCCCTGTACCAACTCATCATCTCCAAAAAATTTCCCCTATTCTTTGAACTGGAGCTCTCATCATGACCACGAAAAGCAAGAGCTTGTAATAGAAGAAATCTTATAACACCCAAAATAATGATAAGACGAGCTTTATATTCTTCTTGGGTCTTTATGGTGCCACGATCCATCACATTTACAAGAGATTGACTTTGATTTTTGAAAGCCACATATTGTTGTCTAGCTTTATTGTGAGCACTATCATGTTTACCAACATGTGTATCAATAATACTAAGTCCATCCTTCCAATTTTTAAACCCTACTGTTGTGAATGCCTCAACACCATAGTTTTCTGCTCTAGGTTGCTTAAAAAGAAAGCAATAGAAACAAAAGGCTGCCTCCTTAGCAACACTATATTCCAACCAATCAGAATGCTTCCCGAACCATTTAGCTTGAAAGGATCTCTTTTTCAAAGAATTTCCTCTAGTTTCTTTTTTAAATTTATGACCACTTGGTTGGCATGGACCCATATTTACATACATCCTTCTAGCAACATCTCTAATATCCGGATCTAAGCTTTCAATAGGTTTCCTACGACCAGGATCAGGTTCAATATCACCTTCCCTTAGTTGACCACGAGCAGAATCAGGAATAACAAAAACGTTGCTTTCTCGAGTTGAGATTGAAGGTGGTGGTCCCATTTCTGCAGCTGTTTCATTTTCTGGACTTGCTTCAGTCCTCTCGGCCCCTTGATTCCCTGCTAAAACTCCGGGTGTAGGCACTTCTGTTGCGGCCACGGATGAAAAATATCTCTTCATCTTTTATTTCTACAAAATGAAATGAAATTGACATTAACAATAGCAACAGCAACATTCACATCCAAATACAATTCAAGTGAAATTTAATGCATGACAGCAGCAGCAACCAACTTCATAAGCAGATGCAGATTGCAGATAAAAAGTGTTTAATCTTTGAAATTTGTATCAACATAAACAGCAGCCCCATTACCAATTCTGGGCAGCAGTCAGCAGAGGCAGCAGTCCTGAGAGGGATTGAGGGAATACGGCGGGGCCGCGTGGCCGCCTGGAGGCAGGAGAGGTCGAGGCGGCGAGCCGGCGAGCACCGGAGGCCGGAGCAGCAGGGGACCAGCCCAGGTTGGCGGCGGAGGGCGTAGGAGGGCGGCGGAGCAGGCGAGCACCGCGGAGGCGGAGCGGGCGAGCAGGTGGGGAGCAGCGCCGCGGCGGAGTAGGCGAGCAGAGCAGGGGAGGGCGGAGCGGAGGGAAGTCACCAGCGGCGGCGGCGGCGGCTGCCTGCGTCCTCTGGCCTCTGCGTCCAGTCGATCTAGGTCTGTGCTCTGGGGAACGAAGCGGGCATGGGCGAGCGGTGGCTGATGCGCCCGTGCGATGCGAGGCTGCGGTACGGGGACTGCCTGGCCTGGGCCCTGGATGTGTACTGGGCCAAGCCCCGGGCCCATTCAAAAACATACATAGGTAATAACTAAAAAAAAATGCCACGCCCCGGGCCTGGGCCCTGGGGGCCTGGGGCCCAGATCCGCCCCTGGCCGCAGAAAACCCCACTGCCACTTGAGCTGGGAGCAAGGTGTTGATCGGAAAGGGTAACTGCCTGCTGACCTGAACGGGGACAGAATTATTATGGTCATCAAACTGCAGGTTGGCGACCAGCATCTGGGTGGTGCTGTTAAAGGAGATGGTGGCCGTCATGTAGCCTCTGAGTCTGAGGCCGATGCTGCCCAAGCTTGTCCAATTCTCCGAGCTCACGGAGTTGATGTCGATGCCGATGTGATCGTCAGTGGAGTTCGGATTGGGGTCCAAGGCGTCTTGGAATGTGTCGAACTCCACGGCGATGAACTGGTTGGTGCGCAAGGCGAACCCACTAAAGAGGGACGGCATGAGGCCGAGGCCACCCTCGTAAGAGTCCGGCGGCATCGTGGATTCGAAATTGCCGAGGAAGAAAGCCATGCCACCATAAAAGTCCACATAGTTGATGAAAAAGTAAAAAAGAAGATGACCGTGATTCCCGCACCCCCTGTCGGGGCGACCGGATGGCGATCTCAGATCGCGACGGAAGCGGTCTCGCCGGCGGCGAGATCCCACGATCTAGGGAGAGTGAGAACACCAGAAGGGAGAGGAGAGATGCTGCGGATCGTGGAGGACCCGCTGGGATTGAGAGAGGCTTGGGAGAGAACCAGAAAGGCGATCAAGGGACTCGCATTGGATAGGAAGCAGCGACTAGGCGGCCTCGATGGAATTGTTGGCCGGAGAACACAGCCAGGCGAGGCGGCGTTAGAGAGGATCAGGGATAAATTGCTTACCATGAGAGAGGATCTGGATCGCGGGCTTGGAGTAAAATCGGGAGAATTAGATCAGGAGATCAGACAAGAACAACAGGTACACACAACTCATCCAACATGTCCAGTAGAATTGCATGGAGTTAAGGAGGATCGGATCATAGATGTGACGGTGTGTGATACTGTCAAAGAGGAAGATATCCCGTATGACTCATCAACATTCGCTCATGATGAGAATGTGCATCGGCAAGAAAAGAGAGTAATTGAGCAACAGTTCATCCCCATGTATAGTATGCCTTCTAGTACAAACGTAGAGAGGGATCACTTTCTGAATCAGATCAGGAGGAATCTAAAGCTGGTGCAGCAGGAGAGACAAGATCAGTGGGAGGAGGAACAAATCAGCCAAACCCAAACGGGTGATCCACCAGACATAGTAATGGGAGGCAGTGAAGCACATGATGGAAAGGTATGTACAGTTCTGAGAGAGAAGCACCAGGAAGCAGTGGGTGCATGCCCTCATGTGATGCAAACGAAGCAAGTGGAA